TTCAACTTTGTGAACACAAGTTTCTGCTAGAACACATAAGATGCAAATCAGGGGAAGATGGGAGTTCAGGATGTGTATTTGAGCCTATTTTTCATGTGAATAGTGGTGCTTTCAGTGAAACTTCACCAGGTTTGTCCTTTTGGAGGCAAAGCTGTGGCGTAGGGGGAGGAATCTCCACTTTATCTTGGTTTGTAAAATCCTTTTGCTGTGGTCAACTGGGTTTTAACTTTTCTTCCATGTTTTTGCACTGTCTGTGCATGGGATGTACTGTTTTAAATTAGGATGACCCTATGGAAGGAGAGAGTGTTTCCTCTGAACAGTGGTGTGTTGGCTCTCATGCCTGTAGGTTTTCATATCCAACTGAGAAGTAAAAAAATTATTCCTCTCTACAATTAAGTTTGGAAATAGGAAAGAATAACAGACAAATGCCATTTTTAATAGAGCTGTATTAACTGAGAGATAACCTTTTCTCATTTTTAACTGCAGTACTTCATGGTGAAGCATAAACTTAACAAAAAAGACAAACCAGTAGGAGGATGAGTAGAGATTTTTCTGAAGATATTTTCTTCAAGTGGTGGAAGTAACTCCTGCCTCTGAGGTAGACTTGCATTTTCACTTAGGCTCTTGCTAAAAACTTGTCAGACTCCAACAAAAACATGCCAATTTAATTGTTTGGTTTGAGTATTGTTGAATGGTGCCTGGAGATCACCTCATACTTGGGTTGCATCAGATTTTCCAACTGGCTGTTTTACCTGTCATAGCCAGTAACTGAGGCCTCAGAGGGCAGTGCAGGAAGTGCTGTAGAGCTTGGCATTCTCTATTAATCCCATCTACTTTAACACCTTAATGCATTTTAATCCCTTACCGGATCCCATATAACAAGAATATTTTAATTTCTCCTTAGAGGCTGACAAAGCTTTGAAACTTTGACTGTGATTCAGTTTATTGGTTTTCTTTTTGTAATTGTTTTGGGGAGGGTTGTTTGTTGGTTTTTTTTTTTTTTTTTAACTCTGTGCTTTTATTGGCCAAGCTGGAAAATCCTGTTACACCTGAGTAATGTGTTGCTTGTTTTTTCTTCGGTGTCTGAGGGCAAAGTTTTTGTCAAAGCTTGCCTTTCAGCCCCACAAACCCATGTGCCTGGGAAAGACAGTGAATCTTCTGGAATTGTCTGGTTTGTCACTTTGGTACCCAGGAGCATAAGATTTCAATAAATAAAGTTCCTTATTGCTAGCAAAGAAAAAGTTTTCATAGATACTGAATCCTTTTGGGCTTTCATCTCTTGACTTTGTGATTCCAAGTGGATTTTGTACTGATAGTTGAGATAATGGGCAGTCATCTTCAGTTTTTTCTTGCTTGCTTTTGCCCTGCCTTAGGGTACATAGCAGCAGTGTGCTATGCCTACCTCACAGGTTGATGTCTCCTCACTGAACAGTGCCAACCTTTTCTATTTCATGAGAACTATGTATCTCAACTGCTTGCTATCTTTCTGGACTCTTATGTATGCTGTGTTAAGTCTTTTCTTAAAAAAAATTAAGACTAACAAGAAAAATACGCATATCATCTTAGCCCAACGTGGCCTAATCATAGAACAGTTTTGACTGGAAGAGATCTTAAAGATCATTGAGTCCAACCTTTGTCCTAGCCCTATCAACACCACTAAACCACGTCCCTCAGCACAACGTAGAACATAGAACAGTTGGAAGAGACCTTGAAGATCATCAAGTCTGACCTTTCTCCCAGCCATATCAACACCACTAAACCATGTCCCTTAGCACAACATCCACCCATCTCTTAAATACCTCCAGAGATGGTGAGTCAACCACCTCCCTGGGCAGCCTGTTGCAAGTGCGTGACAACCCTTTCAGTAAAGAAATTCTTCCTAATATCCAACCTGAACCTCCTATAGTGCAACTTAAGGCCATTTCCCCTTGTCCTATCACTTGCCTCCAAGAAGAGCAAACCAACTGCCACCTCACTACAACCTCCTTTCAGGTAGTCGTAGAGAGTGATAAGGTCTCCCCTCAGTGTTTTCCAGTGCACTACTACATTTATTTTCCTATTGCATTTCCTTAAAAGTATGACACCTTGATGGCTTTGTCTTCGTTAGACTTTCTCAATTACATGTTGCAGGTGTATAGTTTACTACACGTTTATTTTCTTGCACTTGAGCTTTGAGAGCATGTTGGGGGTTAGTAATGTCCATAATTAAGATCATCATGAGCTTGCAGATTCTCAGCCCACAACTATTGAAGTATGTTCACTCATGCATGATCCTAGTACACATCCTGTGTGTTCTTTTTTGCCTTGTAGTAGAAGAGAGTAATTAAACTAAGCTGCATTTCTTTGCACAAGCTGTTGGAAGCAGCAGTGAGAAAATAAAGTGGAAACTAATGGACTACCCTGCAGAATCTGTGACATCAGTTACTCTGATGGTGAACTGGCTATTTTTGTTCCAAAAAACGCATTTAGAACTTATCTCAAGTAGGCTTATGAAGCAAATACCTATCCAAGGATATTTCTCACTAATACCTTTTAAAAATGTTATTTACTCTTTAACCCCAGGAATAGATTTGAATGAAAATTGCATTGCACCAAACTTTAAAACTGTTTGCATTAGTGTTACAAAGAGAAAGTGTGTGCTCTGGAGGGAACAGGAAGTGGATTTGATTTGCAGTAGGAGAAAGTAGAAGTGAAAAGCCAGTTGTATGTGCTGTGGGCTGGTGCTAAATAACACAGAACAAATCACTAAGCCTGCTTTTTTCACCCAAAGCAACTTGTGCACCAGGCCCCAGAGGGCACATCACTGCAATGTGTGGGTACAGGCACACTTATATCTGCATCAGTGTGCTAAGGTGTTACTAAAAGCTGAACTTAGGTTACTCGCTTGAAGCAGAGCTGCAGTTCTGTTACTGCTATTAATTTTTTTTCCTCATGTAGGATTTTAAAATATTAGTCTTAGATGTAACATGATGTATGTAGTAATGGGCAGGCTTCTGGTATTGCTTCTAATGCCTGATTTTTGACTGATCTTTTCTTTGTGGGAATGCTTAGGAGTTGTCTGTCCTTCCTGTCTGTACCTTGCACTGTAACCTCTGAGGAAGCAATGCCTCAGCCGGTGAGTGGGGTAACAGCAGTCAACTGCAAAAGTTCCAGCGGCTGAGGCAGATGTATTCTGCTAACTTGCCCAGGCACAGAGAATGATTTTTGTAGGACTCTTTGCAGCTGTGCTGTTAACCCTGTCCGGGCTCCATGCACAGCATTGGTCTGTCTGGCTGTGGATGTTTTAGGTGTCAGCTGCCATCCTGCAACATGAGGACATTTCCACCTGGATGTGAACGCTTGCGTGAGAACAGCTGCCTCAGGCATGTACGCGGTTAGAAACGAATGCCTGGCCCCAACAGTCGGCATAGGCAAAGTGGATGTAGCAGATCTGCATAGTAATTTGTTTTGAAGTTCAGTTGGTGGTATGGACTGAGGTATGACTTGCTGTGATTTGTGATTGAAGTTGCTTGCAGTAATTCTGTGCAGAAGTAGAATCTTATATAAAGTTTATTTTTAAAAAACTCTCTGGCCCGGGGAAGAAAAGTTCTGCATGAAAGCACAGAATTTCAAGAACTTGCTTTTTTTTTTTTTTTCCTCTTCCCTCTAGTTACAAAAAGGTAATTGCTTGAGACATCAGTTCTTTCTGAGCATTCAGCTTTACAGAAATTGCTAAGGCAGGTTTTGATAGCAAGTGAGAATGCTTTCTTCTTCACTCTGTAATGTGCAGAGCTGCAGGTTAGTGTTATCTAAGTTTCATGGAAACTTAAATCTCTTGCATTGTTGATGAAGTAGTAGTATTATGTAAGTATCTCACTATAATATTCCTGAATGACATCAAAGTCCTTTCTTCCATCAGGACAGGCAGAGATAGGTGGGGTGTTTGGTTGTTTTTTTTTTTTTTTTAAAAAAAAGTTTTATTCTAGGTCAAAAAGAGCATACTGCCAATGTACTACCCAACACTTTCTTTTCAAATATGTTTGACCATGAGTTACTTGGGTATCACTTTCTCTGTTGGCTGATAAATACTAGGAGGATTGTGTCTGGTTTGTTTTGCTTTGAGATACCTAGAGCTGAAGATGGATCATAGAACGTGAGAGGCTGTTTTAGGCAGCATGGTTTAATGTTTGTGTTCAGGGATCATTTGCCATAGCGCTAATAGCCATGTCATCCTGCTGTCCTTTTTCAATACATGCACTGAAACTTTTAGGCAAATAGTTGAGACTTGACTATTGGTGTCCAGCTGGTTTGCTTCTCACCAAAATTTTGAGGATGTTGCTGTCGGGGATTATTCAGAAAGGTCTCTAAAGAATTTTCACGACCATTCTTCAACTGCAAGAGGAAATTGCGCTCTCTCCAACCTCATGAGAACCTAATTACCATTTCCTTCGGAAGAACATCTGTAGGGTTCTGAATGAGCGAGCTATAACAAAACAAACAACTTCCATGATATTCCTCCACCTCCCTGGTTCCTCATGTTCGGTTTCTGTTGCAAAGCCCTACCTAGCCTTTCTTCATTTTAATATACTTAAAAGAAAGCAATCCTTTCGAGCTTGCTGCCCATTAATAAAGCAGCTGAATTGGATTATCTAGCTTGCCACAGAGGTATTCTCATAAAGGATCTGGTAGGTTTTCCCCTATTCATAATAGAGGAAGAGCCACTGTGCCCTTGATTATTTGAGTTTCTGAATGGAAAAAATAAATAAACGGATAAGTATGAATTGGGGGAGGAGTTAAATCTTTCTCCCACTCCCTTACGCTTGGTTTAAAACCTGCCAGCCCCTCTGAGTAATTCATTAATCATACAAACATTGACTCGACTTTTTGGACAGAGAAAGTATTAAATGCTTAGCTTAAAAAGTAAAAACAAAATCCCGTAGCCCACCAAAGGAGGACATCTGTTTCTAACTTCAGCTTTTTATTTTTTTATCTTTCATTTTTTTTGTTGGTAAATCTCCCAGACAACAGCAGTTCTGTAGAGAGTTTAAATATGAAGGAATGGCAGGACGGGCTAAGGGCACTTCTACCGAACATTAACATCAACTTTGGTGGACTGCCCAATGCTTCTTCCCCCTCCAACGCCAACCACAGTGTACCAACGTCCAACACTGCCACCACCGACAGCCTGAATTGGGACAGCCCTGGCAGCTGGATGGACCCCGCAATCATCACAGGTAACCGTTTCTCACTCCTTCAGCTCCGCTGGCAAACCATCCAATGGGTATTTGGCACAAACTGATTTACATCTGGCAAAATTTTTTTTAAAAAAAAAAAGTCAGTATGCGGTGGTCTCTTCCAGCTTCCATCCACAAAACCTCAAGGGTCCAGGAATTTTTGTGGAACTGCTAGGTGCGACCCAGTGTCGCTCAGACCTTTGCAATGCATGCCCGGGACCCCTGCAGGCAGTGAGGTGGATCAGCGCTTACCCGTAGGGTCAACGTAGGTGTCCCTTCTGCTGGATGGCATGTCCGGTATGTGCGCCGCTGGTCCTGAGGCACTGAAGGCATTCACTGGACTTCGTTATTTAAAAAGGGACGTACTCCACTTGTTTATAAAGCTCTCTTTTATAAGGCTGTCTGGTTGTGTTTCCTTGTTGGAGAGGCTGAAGGCATGATTCAAGTAGGGAGAGTAGGTGAAGCATGCCAGCGTGCTGGTGGTGTGTGTGGTAAGGTCACGTCAACAGGGATGCAGTCCTTGCGCAGGATGTTGGGTAGAAAAACGTGGTTTATGAAAAAGCACTCTGAGGGAGAACTTTCTCCTATCTGGATTTAATGTTAAATGTTTTGTGGGCAGGTTAATTACACATATTAATGTAAGATGCATTCTCTGTACAAACTAATCATGTTTTCTCACTGCTGCTTTTTGTTAGGTTAAATTGACCTCCTTCGTGCTCATCTTATTGCTCCTGCTCTGACTTGCCTGTATCCCTGTTTGTTTTTTCTTCTCTTTGTAGGTATCCCAGCCTCCACAGGAAACAGTTTAGATGCCCTTCAAGATGACAATCCTCCACATTGGCTAAAATCTCTTCAGGCCCTCACAGAGGTGGACGGCCCCAGTGCAGCGCCATCACAGACGCACCACAGTAACCCCTTCGGCACACAGATCCCTCTGCACAGAGCCAGTTGGAATCCCTACTCTCCTCCTTCAAACCCCACCAGCTTCCATTCCCCACCTCCAGGCTTTCAGACAGCCTTCAGACCCCCCAGTAAAACCCCCACAGATCTACTACAGAGCTCAGCGCTGGATCGTCATTAGGAAAGGAGTTAAAAAATAAAAGGAAAAGAAAAAAAAGAAAAAGAAAACCCAAAACGTTAGAAATGCAGGAAGTGTTCCACCCTGACTCCTCCCCATGCCCACTTACTGTTCCCTGTCATATCTTTCTTTCTGAAGAATCCAGTTCCTGATCAAACCTCCCCCCCAAATGCAATGCCATCACAGGGTCATGACCATATTTTTTAAGTTTCTGCTGAGCCAGTGTTTGAAATACACTGTTTGAAATATTTTCTAACCATTCTAAGGGGAAAAAAAAAAAAGAGAGAGAGAAATCAAAATGCAGTCTCAATGCTTAAGGAGAATATTACTGTCTTACGTCTTTTGCACATGAATATTTCTGCCTAGTGGAAAAGTGTCAATCTGCAGTAGGGGAAAAATGCAATGCAGAATCAAATGCAGAAACATGAAAAAGGTATTTAATTTAAATGAAGCTACTGAACATGTGGGGCAAGCAGTGGCCTAGCCTTTATTTTGCATTCAGTGTGGCACTACACGAGGAAATTTGCTATGTTGGGTTTCTTTTTTTTTGAGAAGGAGGTTTTATTTTGTCAGTCAGAGTTTGACATGAAGTGTGTTGAAAGACAAAACACTTATAGCTATGAGTAACTGGCATGTTGCTAAAGAGTGGTTTAAAGAGGGGAGAATAAGATTTTTCTTTAATTTTGGCTTTAGATTTAAAGTAAACTTTAATGTTTTAAAAGTATTCACAGATTTAATACCTAGCATATACATAATATAATTATAAGCAGCTGAAACACGAGTGATATTTACTTCAGTCTTTCTGTCTCCTCTGTCAGTCTCTCTTTCTTTTTTTTTTAAAAAAAAACAGCAAAGATTCACCTGATTAGGGCACTCTGGGATAGCACTGCATTGGGGCCACATGATCACCATCAGGAGCAACCTCTGACCTCCTCTGCCTGCAGCTTTTACTTAACCCTGTAGTTTCTGGACGTTTGTGCAGTATTGAAAAGACAGGAAAAAAGAAACAGATAAATAAACATGGTTATAACCTGACGCTAAAACTAAAACCAAGGAAATGTACCTCTTTCTTCAGAATTAAAACTAAAATCTTAAATAAAACAGAAAACTTGATGATGACTTCATGTTTGCCTTTTGTTTTTGGGGTTTTTGTTTGGTTGGTTTCAAACTTGTGTTTTAATTACTGTGTTTGGTAACACCGTATGTCATTGCATTTTTTTTCCTGTTCATCTGAGCCGGAGCTGCTTTTTCATGGAAATACTGCTTTGCATGGTGACTTCTTCATTGAAGGGTGGAAAAGGCATACACACTGAGTTTTTCAAGGGGTTCTGTTGTCTTTACTCATAGCAGTAGCTAGAGGCTGTCTGTCTCTAACCTTTACAAGTGGTATCTTCTTTAATGTGAAGCATGGAAAGCTTGTTTATGCTGTAAGTTAACTGCCGTGGGACTTGGGACAGATAGCATGTAGTAATGTGTTTGAAGGTGTGGCAGGGAATTCTAGTTACAGCTCCCTGCTGTAAAACGTCACTGCACAACAGGCAATGACAAGCTCAACATACAGAAGGATTCGAGCAAGCTCTTTTACTTCCAGCCAGAAATATTTAAAACTAGCAACCTTGTGATGTGGGGTTCGATTAGTTCATGAGGATAGCAGAGAGCCTGAAGTCCTAAAGATGCCTATGCAGAAAGATTTCTCACTTGATGTGAGCTGTGTAATTAAGGCTCGCTGCCCTCCTGAAATGTTTGCTCATGGCAGGGGCAAGGAAGGGAATTCTCACTGCTGGACTGTGAGCACCTGATGGGTCCAGGGAGTGGGAGCATGTCCCAAGTCCATCGCTGAACAGGGGAAGCAGGCAGTGGATCTGCATAAACTGATTCTCAATATCCTGCTTTGTAAAACACCAGTTGTGGTGATTGCCCACTTCTGCTCTTCTCTTACCTGTGTCGTTGTTCAGTGCTGTACTTGCCACGTGTGGTAAGGAACTGCGCGTCCCGTTTCTGGACGGGCATCGTTACTGCGGATCAGTCATGTACCCCAGTTGCTGGGGAGAACACGCACGCCCTTTGATGGCAGCACTCCTCCGGAAAGCAAACTGTGGAGTTTGTGACCTAGTCACAAACCTGTGCAATCCCCTGCTGCAGCTGCTGGTGGTGGAAGGAGACACGGTGACTGCTGGGAACATCCTCTGCTGTGTCAGTGTCTGCTGCTGCCCCTGCACCAGGGATGCAGCTCAGTGGGAACAATATTGGAAGTGCTAGTGAAGATGCAATGGGCTGCGTTTTTTCCCCCTTTTTTTTTTAAACTTTTTTTCTTGATTTATCTTTGTCTTAGTTTAGGATTTGCTGAGGGAAACCCATGCCAGTGATCCGCTACTACTAGAAAATTGGCTTCAGCCACTCAGGAGAGCACGTATTCTCTGCTGATACATAAAGAGCTTGGATGGTCAGCCTACTGATAAACTCTTAGCCTTCAGGAAAGGGTTTGCGATTAGAATGATTTTTCTCTTTATGGTGCCGTCCCACCAAGAAAGACTTACAAGTAATGTTGTGTTGCAAGATTAAAATATATCAGTGTTTGGGTTAATGTGTGGTAGCTTCTACCTCTTAGCATAGTTTTGTCTGCTCTCTGATGCAGATTCCCGCATTCTCCCTGATGGGAAGCAACCTGGCATTTATTTCCGTTCAACTGTGTGTGGAGCTCAATTAGTTTCTCTTGAGGTGTTTGTTGTTGATAGAATTTGTCATCACAGAAGAGTCCATAACAGAACCTTTATCAAAAGGAGAGCATCCGTGTGTCTGATTTGTCCGTGTGACCATCTCGGTACACAGTCTGTTGTTGTTTTCCCATATTGTAGGGACACTTGCAACTCTTCCATGGATTAAGTGAAGAACACTGCTTGACTAAACGGCTGGTGACCCGCGACTAGCAACACATGTGGCAGATGGTGTCTAGTGGAGATGAAATTGGAGGAGGAGGATGGACAAGACTCCTCCAAAGTGGACATGAACGTGTGTTGAGGGAAGGGAGTTGTTAGCCATCAGTGTGTTGGTACAAGAGGTTGTGCTGCATTTTCAAAGTATTCTCAGTTCAAGTGTAGTGATTTCGGGGATCAGCAGCGCTGGACTGATGTTAAGGCTCCTGGGTGCTATTTTTTTTTTTAAAATTATTTTTTATAGTTAATAAGGGAATGATGTTTCTCTGGATTACAGCAAGGAGTATAATGTTACCTTCTAGGTAAGGTGAAGAGCCATTGCATAAATTTCTTTTTCTTTTATAACTTGAGTTTCCTACTTGCAAGTCAAGTGTGAGTAGTTACGTGTCCTTATAAGTTTAGTGTCTTGATAGGGCTGCTCTAACCATACTTAAAACACCATTGATAACTTCCATGACAGTCTTATACTATACTAGTTACTGAATTCCAAATTTTGTTTTCCTTCCCCTCCATCATAGATTCTGTTGTCCAAAAAGATGTTGGCTTTTAGGGAAACCATAATGTTTGGATTTTCTTCAGGGAGTGTGGTGGTTTGGTTTTGATTTGGGTGGTTTTTTTAGGGAATAGTTTTCGGGTTTTTTGGCTTTTACTTTTTGTTCTGTTTGGGATTTTTACAGTTTGGTGAAGCTGGCTTTGCTACTGTAGAGATTTTTGTCTTGAACACTTTATTTTTTTTTTTTTTTTGCTGGAAGGAGAAGGAGTTATATACCCATTTCCTCCCTTGCCCTTGCAAAGGAGCTTAGAAAAATGCACCTGGAAAGTTGCTAGAACAGTTAGTTGAGTGCTTCTTGTACATCACTCTCCTCAGGGTGTGTGTAAGTTGCCTTAAGTTGAAAAGGAGCTTAGACTTGGTGTTGGTCTCCAGCATATTTAAATCCACTGTGTGGCAGATGCTGTATTGCCTGAGACTAATTCCCTCTGGGCAAAGCTGTAGTGCTGGAATAAAAACTTACTGCTAGGAGCTGAGGTGTGTCGAGAAGCACTAAGAGGTGGCACAGTGCAAGCACGCAGAAAATGATGTCGAAGCGCTGTTTGATGCGAGTCTGTGCATTAAGAGTAGTTGTTGCTTTGCACCTCCCAGCAGTGCGTAGTGATATGGCTAGCTATACAAATGCTTTCCACTTCACTGATTTATTATCGTCTGTTTGAGCCGAATGTGGATGAAGTAGCTGCAAAAAACATTTTCCAGCATCTCTTTTTCCCTACTTCGGGACTTCCTCTGATGGGAAACAGCTCTCGGGTCCTCTTCTGTTTATGGCTGTGAGTGTAAGTGAAGCTCCTGAGGAGGAAAAGGGGTGAAGTATTGTCACACCTCTCAGTTACTGTGTGGGAAATGGTGTAGCCTCCCTATGCTCCTAGCTGCATGTGACTGCTGTATGCGAGCAAAATCTTCTTTTCTGGGGTTTGCTTTTGACCTCGGCTTACTGCTGCTACGTTTATGTGGCAAAGTGAAGGCTCCTGAGGTGGAGATGGCCAAATGAAGTTTTGCCGCACAAGTATATAGGGAGCTAAATTGACTTGCAGGGATGCAGAACTCTGAACTCCTGCATGGTGGACATTTGAGGTGAGTTATGGGCTTTGCTGATGAAAAGCCCTGGTTTAGGGAGGTCTGGTGCAATTATTTTAGGTGTGGGAGTCATTTGAATGGAGGTCCTGTCACTGGGGAGGAAAAGACTATAGAAGAGTCCCTGTTGATCTAAAGCTGGTGAGAGAGTGACCTGTAGCAGTCACAAAGGGTCGTCTCCTGCAACACCGTTGAGGTGGAGTCTTTCAGTGGGATACAGCCTTCACACAGTTACTGTTGCTTTCTCCTGTGAAATCTTGCTAGATTACTATTTCTTTCCCCCAGTCTTCAGACTTACAAATTTGACTCCATTTCAGAGATGCTTGGCGTCAGAGTGGGAGTTGCTCAGCGCTCTCTTCCAGCACTACCTAAAATCGCAGTCTAGAGAGCTTGTCCTGGCAGATCACATTGAATATCTCTTTGGAGTTCCGTGGCTTTAGTGTTTGTATGTTACAGGTCCCAGCGAAAACCTTGCCCAGATCTTGGGAGAGGGTCTGAAACCTCTTCTGCCACTGCTGACAGTCCTAGGAGGCTGGGACGCTGAGCTTCACTGAAGACTTTAAAGCTATGACCGGAACTTGATTAGCTCTTTCTAGATAAGACTGAGACTTCCAGTGTGGAGTCTGAAGCTTAAAATCCTGTTTAAAAAAAGACTCTAAGGCTACTTTGTCTCTCTTGTTTATACACTGAGCAGAAAGCGACTGCTTGTG